GTATTCTTTGATGCAAACCAAAGCTAAAATTTAAATGAATTGATTTGGCCACTTATGTCATCAAAGTGGACTTATCTTTTTGGTCAAAGGTTGTGAGAGAACTCTACAGTTAAGCGTGCTTATGCTGGACTATTGCAAAGATGGGTGACTTTTCGAGAAATGGTTGTCAGAACTGTGTGAATGAGGCCAAAACACAGGAAAAGATCATGTGGTGGTTTGTAGGGTCAGTAAACAAGTCTTTCAGCCTCTCGGACGTAACAAACCGGCCATCGAATATGGTTGGGCACACAGACCTAGTGAAAAGAAGTGAATCCCATTAAAAGAAAGTGAGCTTATGGACTGATGGTGAACATGGAACCCACTGGAAAGGTGACTGTCAGGACATTACAAAATGTTTATTTGAATTTGCAGTTTTTAAGATTACATATAGTAGAAATGTGCGCGAATTTCTACTTATTTATCGATGAATTTTACGAATTCAAAGAAAAGTTATGAGAATTTATCCTTGACAGTGATCATTTCGTTCTCTCTAAAGACATAATATGAATCATATGATCGTAGCTTGTAAAACATACATTGTTATAATATATAGAGTTATCCGGCCGAAACTTATATCCGAAAATCAAAAGAGGCATTTATTATCAATCTATGGTGAATGAATTTTGCTAAAATACTATGTGTCTTACATACATATGATGTTCCTTATTCGTTGGTATTAGAGGCTCCTAACTCATAATCTATGGTGAGTGTGAAAGGCCTCGTTGCTTATGTGAATGTTATTCTTCTACTCTAATTCAAGAATAATACACGACATTTTTGGCAAAAATGTAAAAGAATAATATTAAAATGGCTTTACTCATATTGCTAAATTTAGATAGAAAGATTTTTAATTTGATAATAAAAAAATATATATTTAACAAAAACATATCATTGTCAAGAATATCATGTCTCTTACTTCTATATTGAAATATATATATATATAGAATATATATATTTGTTTTGAAAAATACACAATATATATTGTCTCTTACATTTTCAATTTATAAAGATTATATATAATAATAACTTAAACTTGAAAATTTCAACTATATTTCTCTGAATTTATTGTAAATAAGTGATACTTCTAATACCTAGCTTTTCAAGAGATAAAATAAAAAATAAAAAATTGTCACAAATATTATTTTAAAATATATATTACTCCTACGTCAAACATATATAATCTATAGTCAGTACAAAAAAAAAACAGACGAATGATGTAGATCAATAATTACACACAGAAAATGAAACAATCATTTATATATAAAAATTGAAACAATCATATAAAAAGAACAATACAATAGTAATATTCATGCAAAAGAAAAGAAAAATATAAATATATACGAGGAAACAAAAGCCTGGTGGTGCTAGACACATTGCAGGATTGAACATGAGAGTGATGTTTCAACATTCTCTATATCTTCACTACTTTCGTATAGTATTGCCTCTCTAAGCAAATGCTTTTCTTGTACTTTGAACAAGCAAAATTTTTATAAATTTCTTGTGACCAAATCATGAAAATTCTGTTTTTTGTCCCACTTTTGCAATCATCATATTCTACAAAATGATGCTCTCTTAACTTTATCTTCGCCCTCTTTCATTCGACCTCAATTTTTTTTTTTCAATTTTGTTTGTATTTTGCAAAACAAGTAACTCAACTTCATTGACATGGGGTGGTTTTGATCAAATATTAGAAAAAAATCTTTTAGTTATAGTACATTGTTAACAATTATTAATTTGACTTTGCATCCAAATCCAGATTTGGAACATTAAGTACATTTTGTTACAACGATCTTCTTTTCTTTTGTTGCCATTCTCGAACATTGAATTCTTCATTTTGCAACTATAGGATTTTGGAACCTTAACATGTCCCCACAATGTGAGAACTAGTCCGGTTAATCGTGGCTCCGTCGCTGCGGATTTATGTCGAGTTTGCCGATCAAGTTGATCAGTATGTTATCCAAAATGTTGGATTATTCATAAAACTATAGAACATTAGTTTTCACAGCTCAACATTATATACTTGCTAGTAATATAATTTGTTTTATGAAAGTCTTATATGATCAATTGTATCCTTAAAGAGTTTACGGATGCAAATCCTTGTATATATATGAATATATGATATACATTATTGTCAATGATAAGGCTAACTACTTTTTCATCCTAACAACATGCATGATTAATTTACAGCTCATTTTCTAGTAATGGCACTAATTTGAGCGAGATATAGCCAAACCTATTGGACAAAAAACATTTTATTCTAAAAATATCTCTAATTTTAATCCTAACTTTTGTCTTCTTCTTGGTTTTTATAGCTCTAGCTCTTTCACCTCTTAACAAGGAGGACCTTGAAAGAGGCAATGGAACTCTCTTATGAACATGGCTTCTCGAAGATGAAACCAAAGTCAATGTCAATGAACTCTCTCTCCAACTTGAATTTTTTTAAATGCTCAATCATTTGAATGGCGGCGATTCTTTATTTTTCGTATTAACATTTTACAAACTATACAAAAATAACATCACCGTGACTTTTCTAATTTTTTTTTCTTTTACAACCAATTTTGGAGTCCAATTTCGACTACACAAAGATGATTTAATAAAACTTGAAACCGACAGACTAATTTAATTGCATGTTATAATATATATATATATATATATATATCATTAATCGCAAGTAGTTTCTTATATGTTCATAACATTATTTAAGATATTCTCTAGTGTTAATCTTACTCGTAAGATATCACTACTAATAATACCCTTAGTTGTAGTAATATATACGTCAAAATGTGTTATATAATTATATGTGTGCACTTGCATTTATCAAGAATGGTATGATTAAAGGAAAAAAACAACGTTAAAATACAATTAAAAAGATGTTGAATAGATAATTTCTTGTAATCAGTACATATTTCAATATATATAAGAACATGTAAGTGTTCATATACGTATACATGCATAAAGACAAAACCACTACATTTCAATTGAAAGAATAATATATCATTCGTGACGCAGCTCATGCAATTATTAAAAAATTGAGGTAATCTACGAGATTTCTTCCTCTCTAATTACGAATCAATATGTCAAAGGAGACAAGCCAGTTGTGTATACAAAGGATTGAGTGTTTTTTCCGTTGTAATGATATATATTCTTCAATTATGCATGCTGATGATATGTTTTGATATGTATAATTTCTTTAAGACTCGACTTAAGCTACTAGCTTTTTATATAAATAAAATATCTTTGTTAATTGTATACTACTAATCATGTTTACTAATTTATAAAAATAAACCCTCTTTCCTATAATACGATAATAATGAGAGAACACGCATCTTCTTATAATATACGTTTTCTAAAACACTTATTATTGTTCTCGTGTAGAAACATGCTCCAAATTAATCAAACTTAACTTTGTTTGTTTCTCTTTAGTCTTTACAATATAAAGAATTAAAGATTAAAGAAAGCTTACGAGTTATACAAGTCGGTAACTATATAATAAAACTAATTAATGTCTATATAAGTAAGAATATTAGTTGTTACGCGACCAGATTATTGTATAGTGGAAACAATTAAAGAACTTTGCGTACTTGAATTGAAGAACTCTTTTAACATTCTAATGGACATCAAAGGTGTCTCTTTTGATATCAAAGTAGAAAGAAATAATAGTAGTATAAAAAAAAGTATGAATACAATTGAAATTATTAAATTCTTCTTTTTTGCAAACAGAAAAAAAAATATTAAAAATCCGTAGACAATTTTGGAGGGGACAATAATTTTAGGACTCGTACAATTGCTTTCATGGAAATGAGTTTGTTGTTGACCCATTGGCTTCCCTTTATTTTTTTCTTTCAAGATTTTTTATTACAAATTCGGAAACTCCAAATTATTATCGTCATTTTTTTTTTGGTTTGAGAAGACGACTTCCTATAAATTATTTTAAAAATACAATAATAATAAATTACATTCGAATATTTTGTGAGCGTATAAAAATTAAATCAATATCTCCAAATCATATGAAATAACTCGAAGTATATGTAAGATATTATCTATGAATTACATTTTCTTTTTATATTATAGTTATCATGTTTCTGTTTTTTTTTTAAATAACTATAATTTTTTATAGTACTATTTTCTTTAATATTGAATAAAATTCAAACTACCATAATCTTTCTTCTTTTTTAAATTGTTGATAAAACTCTTAAGGGGGAGTTATTGGGAGAATGACTTTTAAAGATTTTTAGAGTTTAAGATTCTAATGTTATTGGTGTACGGATTATTAGATTCTTAATAAAATCTCTTGTTATTGGTGTATGTATTTTGTAATTCTATTTAAAATCCTTTGTTATTCAAAAAGTTGAGTATTTATTGATTTTCCAATTCTATCAAATTCTAGTGTTATTGGTTTAATGATTCTTTACATATTTAGTCATTAAAAACAACTTTCAAAATACTGCAATTATCATAAGGATTTGTAGAGTCTATCATATGAAGAATCTATTAAACTCTAAAAATCTGGGTAAACATTATTTTAGAATCAACAAATCTTTTTGAGAATCTTAAAATCTCTAAACTTTTAAAATCCACAAACTCTTTTAAAATCAATCTCCCAATAACCCCCCCTAAAGTCATTTGTCTTTCTTCTGTCAACATAAGTCACGTTTTTTTAACCTATCTTTCGAGAAAAGAAAAAGTAAAAAATAGTTAACCATCGAGTGTTAATCTATAAAGTATTAGCAATTTTCTAAAGAAATCAAATAATTTTTTTTTCTTTGTTAGGTTTTTTTTTTTTGGTTCATATCTTGATTTTTCTATATAGAGTGGTCCCATAAAAGGTATCAATTAATTCACCCCAAACAATTATAAAACAAAAGTGTTTCCACAAAATCGCCAATCACTTTTTTTTTTTTTCTCATTTTATAATAATTTCTCCATCTTCTTTCTTCATCTTCAACTTTAATTATAGAACCTTCACAAAAACTCTCTCTAGCAACATTAATCTCTCCCTGCAACAATCTATAGCTTCTTGGTTTCTTAATTCATTACTTTTCGCACAAAAAAAATGGGAAGACATTCTTGTTGTTTTAAGCAGAAGCTAAGAAAAGGCCTTTGGTCTCCTGAAGAAGATGAGAAACTTCTCAATTACATCACTAGACATGGTCATGGCTGTTGGAGTTCTGTTCCTAAACTCGCAGGTTTGGTCTCCACTCTTATATATCACTAATAACAGTTGCAACAAAAAAATGTATGTATCTACTTTTTACACGTATTGATGATGATCATGGATTTAGGTTTGCAAAGATGTGGAAAGAGTTGTAGACTAAGGTGGATAAATTATTTGAGACCAGATTTGAAGAGAGGAGCTTTCTCACAAGATGAAGAAAGCTTGATCATTGAGCTCCATGCTGCATTAGGCAACAGGTTAGTTTAAATTTGCTAAGGATATATTAGCTAGAATCATATAAAATTTATATTATATAGTTCTTGAAATATGAAATGCAGTTTCTTGAATATAAAAATGTAGTTCTTGAATGTGTTAGATGGTCTCAAATCGCGACTCGGTTACCGGGAAGAACAGACAACGAGATCAAGAACTTTTGGAACTCATGTCTAAAGAAGAAGCTGAGAAGAAAAGGCATTGATCCAACAACACATAAACCCTTAGTAACAACAAACGAGCTTCATCAAACTCTCAACGTCATAGATCAGAAGTTGACGTCATCGGAAGTAGTAAAGTCAACGGGTTCAATAAACAACAACACACATGATCACCAGTCCATGGTCGTCTCGAACCAGTCAGGTCCATGGTGGTTCCCTGCGGCTACAACTACTACTACTACGACTAATCAAAACGCTGCGTTTTGTTTTAGTTCAAGTAACACTACTCCAACGGTTTCAGACCAGATCGTATCTTTAATCTCTTCAATGTCCACGTCATCGTCTCCGACACCAATGACTTCAAACTTCAACCCTGCGGCTCCAAACAACTGGGAATTACAACAACTCAACTACTGTAACACTGTTCCATCTCAAACCAACAGTATCTACAGTGCCTTCTTTGGTAATAATCATTACACAGAAGCTAGCCAAATCATGAACACTAACAATAATAATAATAACAATCCAGTCTTGGATCATCATCAAGACATGAAGTCATGGGCATCAGAGATTCTTCATTACACAGAACAAAACCAAACCTCAGAAACATGTTTAGAAACAGAAGTGAAGCCAGACATTGCCAAATACTACTGGAGATCAGCATCATCATCTTCCTCACCAAACCAAGAAGCTGCAACGTTACTGCATGATGCTGACGTTGAGGTGTACGGTAAGAATCTACAAAAACTTAATAGCATGGTGTTTGATCAAAGCCTTTAGAGTTAATTAACATGTGTGTGTTCTAGAGAGTTTCGTTTTCTATATATTCAAAACATTCAGTTTTATTGATTGATGATCATGATCCATACATATTCTGCTGGTGTGTAAAGTATATAATATGGTTTTTGGTTTGTGTATATTTTTTTCTGTTTGTTACTAAGATGTAATTCTTTTTTTTTATTCTATCTCCATGCTTATGACTTTGACCTTAATAGAGTTTTCATATTATTATTATTATTTACATCTAGCTAGAGGAAAAGTTCTATCACTAAAGTAAAACATGTCTCGGTCGTGGTGGATGATGTTTTTTGTTTTAAGGAGAGGTTAATAGAGAGATCCTAAATTGGAGTGGAGACTTCTTAGGAAAAGTGATTCCGGACAAAGAGATGCATGCGTGAACACAATGAACCGAAAGACCCATAATTTTTTGTTATCTTATGAAGTGTGTGGGTCTCAAATACAATAATATTCTTTGTTTTTCTATAAACATTTTACAAAGTTCGGAAATTGGTTAAAATAAAATATTCTCTAACTAGCTAGAGTATACACTATGCATTTTGTAAATTAGGAATTAAGTATATATATTTTTGGGGCAAATACTAGGAATTGACTATGTAAATTATTAAGTTTAAATATTGAAGATCAACTCTTTTAACATTTATCACAATTTAATCATAAAATACACCAATCAATTTACTTGTTTGTCTTCGGAAACTGAGGTTAAGGAATGTTCTATCTTTTTTTCAACACAACTTTTAATTTTAACTGGTTGAGCTACCGACACGAAACCCTGGTTGAAAAATGTTTCAAAATCTTATATTATATATCATATATTCAAGTAATAGTTTTTATTTATTGGTCTTTATAGATACATTTTTTCAAACTCATCTAATTAGTTATTGACAAAACTATACTATAATTAAGTTCAAATTAATTTATAAGCTGAATGTTACTATTTTATGAAATAATATCTAAATTGATAATAGAGTATATTATAGATGAAATAAGTTTTAAAACCTCAATATATATATTTCTCTTCTTCTTCTTCTTTTTTGTTTTTTGGTTTTTTTTTAGTGCACAAATAGATGAATATACAAAAGGGACAATCAATCTTAGAATCGAAGTCCATCACTGTCTCCTTTCATACTCATTGTTTTTACTTCTCAGACATCGATCTCCCACAGTTTTGATAATGACAGGTGAAATTTGGAATATGTAACATTCAAACCGAGGAGTGAGCTAGCATATGAAAAGACCAATATATATATATGTTTGTGTTTTCAATTTTGGTGCATGAATGAAGACTAATTTTATGACAAAAAAGACTAATTTAGATGTTCTGATTACAAGAATTTTTAAACTAATTAATGCAACAAAAAATGAAATAATTATTTCTTTAATAATAACTGATTTTGAAGTGATTTTTTGGGCTTATAACTAGTTTTGATCATTCCTTAGTTTATCAAATACTAATGACATATTAGAAGTATGATCGACCTATCACTGTGTAGGAGTCTGATTAACATGCAAAAAAAGAAGAAGAAAAGATTAGTTATAGGTAAAACGATGTGAATTAAGGTGTATTGATCATCAATAATAATTAAGCAAATATTCAAGTGCGTGATATACTAAATTAGAGGGCTGTTTTACAAGCTACCTGAACTAATTAGGTTTCTCACCTCAAAACTAATTCACAAGAAAATTGAAAGAACATATAAAGAAAAGAGAAACGAGAGAGGGAGAGCAAATCTAAAACAAACAAAGGACAACACTATCACCGACCACTAGTGATGAAATATACTAGCTAGACTTGACCATTGCTTAACATTAGTTAGAGGAAATTTTTGTTAAGTTTTTTATTGTTTCACTTTCATTGATATTGATTTGAGTAAATAATTTACGTCACGTATCATTAGAGATTGATTAAAGAGTTGTAAAAGATCACTTAGTGATGATAGTGTTCAATGGTTTGCCAAAACAAGAAATAAGTACTCATGCGTGTAGAAGAAGGGACCCTTGATCTTGTTCTAAGGTGGTGAACGACGAAACTCGAAGGTGGTGGTGGTGTAGAGTCTTCTGACAAAATCCCAATATAATTCACACGAGGGGCAGCTTTTGAGTTGTTTTATTTTTCTCTTTGAGGTGGACCAAAACAAAATAAAGTTCTATTCTTGCAGAAGAAGGGGTCCCTTGTTGCTGACATCTATAGTGTTGATATAACTTGGAAAAGCCATGCAAGAGATAAGAAGATGAGCAAGCAAATTTTTCTTTCTTTTTCAAAATTATATAACTCAAAGTAGTCTCAAATGTTGTGAAAAGAGTACCTTATGTATATGCATTGGTCGTACAAATTTTGACATGATTTAGCCAATATATAATGATCATGCATGGACGTATTCGATATCTCATGAGTTACCGAGCCTGATGAAAATGATGTGAACTATATAGTTTTTTCGTATAAGCCAAAACCATACTATGTATAGTTAGAAGTATGGAAATTTTGTAGTAATTTTATGATGTTTTCTTGTAGTATATACATATACACGAAAATAATATACAAAAGTGAAAGACATTTAACTTGTGATTTTGGTTCTTTATATCAATCTTCTTCGATTTTTCTCTTTTATTTTCTCCATCGTTCATTAATACTATGTAACTAATCACTATATTTTCATATGTAAAACGTTAAATTTTGTGAATATTTTAACATTTTTACTACAAAAACAAAACAATTACGAGATGAGAAAGTAACTTATTGTGTCGGCTATCATTAGCTAGACAGACAACTTATATGGCACATCTCTCTTTGATCTCTTTATGATAAGGGTAATACCTATATTTTCGGTTCGACTCTATTAATCTTTAAATTTATGATATGGCTGTTATCTTTTAATTATAATCAATTCATTGATATGCTTTATTTTCAAATCAATTAAAGTTTGAAAATGATTAGAATGAATGGTGAAAAAAGCCATTGCATATAGTTAGACAATCTCAATGTATTAATTAGTGTTAAGAAAATATAGTTAAATCGATATATGTGAATATGCATGTGATCAATATTTTACATTCATTATCCTACGTACCAATCCCATATATTATAAGGGAGAAACCATAGTTTAAAACGTTTAGGGAAAATATCGCAGTTACTATCATGAAAATTTTATAATCGACTCTAACATATATCTTAATTTATAATCAAAAGAATATATGCTTTTACAATATACATAAGTACATAACGATTATACTCAAAATTATTTATGTTTTGTTTTGTCAACTTATAGTATTTTATATTATTTCTATTGTGAATAGAGACAAACCTATATAACAAAGCCAAAAAACTACACTATTAAAATAAAACATACATCCATTGTTTGATTGTTGAATGAGATTTTTATAAATACAATAGGATTCTCTAAGAATTTTCAAAAGCAAAACGTTTATGAGTTGATCATTTATATTTTTGAAGACTTATAAAAAAAAAACAGAAAAAGGCCTTTTTTAATCCTTACACCTCATAATTTGCATGTGAGCCAAAATAATTGAGGCCCTACATTAATCATAACATTCATTTCTATATTTCACAATCACATAATATATCAATATAGCTCCATTGTATTTTATTCGATATCATTGTTGTTTTAAAAAAAAATTCTCAACTTGTCTATAATTTTTTAAAAGCATGTAACACATATAAAAAATATTGTATGAATAGAGTTGGTTTTATATGAGAATTTTCAAAAGGATCGTTGTCGTTTAATATAGAGATAGCGATAACGTAAACAAGAAAAATAAGCTTAGTGATAAAGACAACGTTGATGGCGGTGTCAAAGACAATATTATAAAGTTGCATTATCAACCAGTCATGGGGACTTCATATTTAAAACTTGATGTTGTATTCATATTTCTCAAAGAATTTAAAAACAATGACCGTGGTATTCGTAATGAAACTTTATGATATATAAAAGTTTCTAGAAAATGTGTAATTGGTTAAGAACTTTACAGATTGAAACTTGTTGAAAGATTTCTAAGCATAACTATTATTTTCCTTAAGCATCATATACAAAAAAAGTATATGTAGTTCATATTAAATCGCTAAACAAAAAAAAAATTGTGTGTTTGTGTTTATCAGCCATGTTCATTTAAAAATCGTAACCGACTGCGATTATCATACTAAAATCGCGGAATGATTTTGTATTCGTGTGACTGATCGCTACGACTAAATTGCTATTTAAACTAATTTTTTCTACGATTAAAAAATTTAGTCGCAAGTCACTGACTGTCAAACAAACAACACGTCGTAAAACATGAATTTCACTTGTTCCTTTAAAATATCAATCATAAAAATGTAAACACAAATATTTGTATTTAAGACAATCGAAGAATGTAGTAAAAAAAAAAAATAAATAATCGAACAATGTATGAATCCATTGCAATTGCATGGTTATGAGTATTTACAAAAACCCTAGGGTACACTTAACTTTTTGCCTTCAAAAAAACAAAAACCATATTTATGAGATCATTTTAAAGACCGTCTTGGGCTTTCGTACCCTTGCCCATGCACTTGAGCCGGACATAGTTGCATTGGTACCTATTATTTAATGTAACTGAAACTAAAACTGATGGTCAGAACTTTATATACTAGCTAATAGTTTTTAAAACTACAACTAAAACCTTTGATTAGTATGCTTTGGGATCCCAAACTTGCCCAGAACGTTCAAACAAACAAATTAACCAAACCAAAAGTATCTAATAAGAATCAAACCGAGAAAAATAAAACCAAATCTGAACCGAGAAGAATCTAAGAAACCAAAATTCTAATATACTTGAACGATTTAATGCCCCGATCGCCATCTTTCCATTGGGTCTTTTGCTACGTCTGGGAAGGTTAAATACTTGTTTACGGACCTTACAAATCATCACATGATCTTTTTCTGTGTTGTGGCATTAGTCACACAGTTCCGACAATCACTTACCAGAAGGTCACCCGTCTTTTAACTGCTTCAGCATAAGCACGAAAAAATAAGTGCACTTTGGTGACATAGATGGCCAAATCAATTCTTTTAAACCTCTCCGCAACCTGGGTCTCACAAATGGATTCTTAAACTTTAGAACAAAACAGATATTTTTACCAAAAAAATATTATTAGCTATTCTTAAACTGAATAGCCGAATATATATATAAAAACAAAATTATCAAAACATAACCAAAAATACCCTAATGTACCGGAAAAGTCACTAAAATAATCGGATCCAAACCAAACCAAACCAAACCGAATTTTTTCGATACATGTATGACTTCTTAACCTTAGAACTGAAAAAAAAACCTGCAACTTAGTAAAACCGAAGTGGAACGCTTAGACCTAACGAACCAATGTCAATGTGGTCTCAAAATAAACTTGCATGTGTTGCTTTCCATATTCACTTTTACATTGACCCAAAAAATAGTCAGACTAGCTTTTAAAACCGTGTCGGACTTGGTCAGTTTGACATAAATTATTGTAAGTACGAAACTTATTGCAGAAAAAAAGAAAAACCTTTGCTTCATTTATATTTCAATCTCTTTAGGAAAAAAAAAACACACGTGTTTTCCAAAGAAGAATTGGTAAGTAAGAAATGTTACAATACTACAACAAGATCACTGATTGATACATTAAAGAAATAATGATGAAGATCATTCATCTGAAGACCAGATTGTGGCAGCTCCTATCACACGGGTATGGACAGTCTATTAGCTTCACTTCAGCTCTATCAAAATACCAATCTCCAACCGCTATCGCAACCGCCTAAATCGCAGTTTCGAAAGATCGAATCGGTTATTTCAAAACGCTACTAATTAATGCCTTAGATGGTTGTTAAAAACAGTTTGAGTCCAAATAAAGATGAAGTATTTGCAAACCTTTTTGTGGATAACAGGAGAATCATCTGCGAACCAAGTGTCTTGTCTTTCGGTTTGGCAATGAGAGAAGCAAGAATTGATAAACAAACCGTTCTTTTTCATTTTGGAGAATCCATTTACAGCTCTCAACATCTGATTTCTAAACCCTGTTTAAGAATTGACAGCATTATAAGATAAAGAGTGAGGTATGATCATCTTGAAAATGAGGACTCCACAAAAGTTTTGACCTTGCAAGAACCGGATTTGCGCTGGGGTGCATCTGCCATGGTTTAATCTACATTCATGCCAGTAACCACTAGGATCTGCACTTGGTGGAGCTATACTACTTTGAATCTATTAAAACACAAACCATAATGGTTACTATTACTAATCTCAATTGGCATAAAAACATGGATGGAGTTAGCAGAAGGAAACATACCTGCCAAATATCATAAGCTGCATTGACAATAAAAAGAGGAGTTTTCATCTGACTGATCAAGTTTTGAGGGAAGAAACACTGTCACAAAATCGAAAAGATAAAAGAGTTTACGGGTCAGCTTTCGCGCTAATGTTTTTTACAAGATACAACCGATTCGACTAGTGGAGAGGAATAGCTTACAGAGGTTGGATTTAGATGGTTAGTGCATAAGTGTGGCAAATTGTTCTTCACTCCCTGATTCATTACCATAACAACAAACTGTTAAAAGTATAATCTCTTTATAAACTATAAAGTTTATAATATGAAGATGGTCACACCTGCAACTGCACAACACCATTGTATAGGTTTCTTATCGTATGGCCACCGGAAACATCAGGCCTTTAATCAAAGAAAAAACAAGTGATTCAGTAATTTTTGAGAAGAAACAAAAGTAAAGACTCATATGAATGAACTAACTTACGTGTCCAAGAACAATCCTGCATCACTTAAGCATTTAACTTTGGTGTTTCTTGAAAACAAGTTTCTGAATTCGTCACAGCGTAAAATAACCGCTAGACCGCCTGCAGAGCATCCGGATAAAAGTGCCTGAAAACAGTAGTAAACAAATCTTAAAAGAACTGTTTCCATCAATGTACATAGAGAAGACCCTAAAGTGAAGATACCTGTTTAGCATAACGCATTCCCTTGGCTTTCAAATCTTCCATTGCAGCTCTCCATATCTTCTCTCCTCTAAACTGAAGCCGTGCAGCCTGAAAAAAGTTACATGTTAAAGAAAATGAAAAGAACACAACATCTCAAACTGAAATATATGATCTCAAACCTTGTTCTGACTATCACCGCTGAAGGAACCACCATCGCAGTAACGAAGCTTGACTCTATTCCAGTTGAAAAAGTCTGCAAAACAATGAGCTATAAGTATTGTTTCTTGAAGAATCAAGATTTACACTAAATACAATGCCTAAAGTCAAAAAGAACCTGGATTCTCTTGAGCTTTATTGCTAAGTATTCCTGTAAACTGTATCTGTTTCTCCATATAATTAGAAGATCCACGACGAGACTTCTTTCGGTATACACAATTCCTAATGTTGTCACACCATCCTCCTCCCTTTGTAACAAAACAAGACTTACTAAAACTGGCAGCTTCTATTTATTGAACCAAGAGAAAACAAAATTAACACAAAACTTGTTTGGCTAAGTACCTCTAATTGAATGAGCCAGCTATTAGCTCCGGATCCATGTCCACGATGTAAGTGATATCCAGGCAATGTACCATCCAAACAAACTGTAATTAAGACATTACATGTCTTTAGATTCAAACACTGTTCTGTTTTCACATATTTTTCCATTGATGTGTTATATTATAGTCACATTTCAGATGCACATTACACCTCACATTCCCAAATCAGAAATTAGCTTACTATTAAAATGCAACTATCTAAGACACATGAGTGATACTAAAACAAGATAAAACAACAAGCAAAAAGCAAAATAAAGTTTACAAGTAAAAATCAGAGAAAGACAGTACCAGCTCCTTTGGAACCAGCTCCACTGATAAGTGTGAGACCAACCATCAAAGGGTTAGAATTGGAACTAAATTTGGAGAAACCAAACTCTAAATCTTCAATGCGATCTAACTCAGTGACATTGAACTCAAAATACCCATTTGCCTCATTACCAAGAACAAGTCCTGCAACTACAAAACCTAACAAGAAAAGCTTCCTCATTGCTCTTTCTTTAAACTCTTTCTTTAGAGCTATGAATAGAGAAATAATGGTTAAAAAGTAGAATAAAAAAGGAAAAGGATATAAAACAAATGCAGAAACTTGTAATGTGTTAGTGAAAGAATCGATCTTTGTACTCAGCTTTTAATGAGAAAGGAGAAGAAGAAGAAGGAGACAGAGCAGAGAAGTGCAGTGAAGAAGGAAAAGACTGTTTTAAAAAAGAGCTTTCATGGCTGGATTCACGTTTGGAATCTCATTACCTCGATCTTCTTAATTTTAATTATACTAATTATTTATAGTTATTGTAATAATTATATAGTTAATTTAATTCTCTATTAAGACAAGAAGAGACCATCTTTTAGTTTATGATGTTTTGGTTCATACTTGAAACACACATCAACATACAAAAGAGGTAACCATAGAAAAATAGATACAAATTATGATAGCAATATTATCTAAATTACGCATTAGAAAGTATTATTTATTCAATTAATCATTTTATTTTTTGTGTGATAATTGTCTATACTTGTTTTTTTTTTTTGGACAAAATCTATACTTGTTTTTTTTCTTATTTGTTTATACTTGTTTTTTTTTCTAAATTATGCATTAGAAAGTATTATTTATTCAATTAATCATTTTATTTTTTTTGTGATAATTGTCTATACTTGTTTTTTTTTTTTTGGACAAAATCTATACTTGTCTATACTTGTTTTTTTTTCTTATTTCCCCACACCAACCAAAACCAAATATATATAATGATGTTGAATAAGCACAATAAAATCATGAGCGATAATTACGGAAGTTGGTAATCATGTGTAATTGCCAAGTTACCCATTTGGATTTTAAAAACATTCTTTCAAGATATTTCAACACATACACTATCATAGTTTTTGATTGAGTCTTAAGTAACCAAAGATATCATGTAATAGCTCAATTGGTAAAGATTTCTAGCAAAAGTTTAGAGGTCGCCGGTTCGAATAGCGCTTGGAACGAAACCATATAACATGCTTTGGTTCGGGCCTGAGAGGATGTATGGGCTTTGGCCCAGAACCTCTTTGATTATTAAAAAAAAAAAAAAAAAAAAAAAGATATACACAAGCACTATTTAGTCACGGAGTGATCAAAATAAATTCTAAAAATAGCTAAATATAACATTAGATCAATAGAAAAATGAACTAATTGACAAATATGTAAGTTTAAACTTATTATGTAAAAAAATTAAATTTCATAGGTTTAGAGACTAATTATAAAATTTATTTGGAACAAAAAATTGTTTTTTTTGTTGTTGTAAAAGTTAAAGTAATAAGCCGTCGTCTATATTATTTAATAATATCCATCTGAACGCTATTAGTCATCTAAATTATTCGAAACCGTCTAAATTATTGCATAGCTAAAATTTGCGACGTTCAATCATCGTCTAAATATCGCCTAGAATTGTGTATGCTGCGTTTTAGAACACTGATTTTAACATATTTTTTTGTTTGTCATCAAACACTGATTAACATATATGTTTTCTCATTTCCTAATCCAAAAATAGTTTTAGTCTAATATATAAGTCCAACAACTAGGATATACCCCGTGGTATACCACGGGTCCATAACTTGATATATTTGTTTGGTTGATCATTTTCGTAGTTGGTATATATAGTCTAGTTTTATAAGTGTGTATTTTATTTTAATTTTATATAATTTTTTGAATTTATATTATAAGTAGATTCATAGATATATATGGTCAACCCGCGATATACCGCGAGACAATTTTGTTGTAAATAAAATTTTTTATTTTAACTTAACCCGTAAAAGATTTTAAATATAGACAATCCGTAATAAAAAATATAATCATATTTATGTATACTCAAACCCGTTCAATCATATTTACGTACAATTTTATTATATTTTTAGAGTTCAAATATTAATAATACTTTAAAATTT